GGGGAACAGCGTGACCCAAAGGCAGACCTAGGACCCCCGCCCGGGGGGGGGCGACCCTGCGCTCGCCACCCAGACCCATGCAGAGTCCAGCACCCCAGCAGGTCCACGTGGGTGCAAGCAGCTCGGGCCCTCGCGGAAACCTCCGGAGAGAGCCGAGCAGAGAAGTGGCCGTAAGCAGATGTGACTTGTGGTCCCCCTACCTGCAGGAGGAGCACAGCCCACAGCTTTCTCGACGGGACGAATTCAGAAACACTGCGGGGGGAGCCTCACCCCCCCCCCGCCTTTATTTCAGAAACCGAGAGCGAGATCTGGGGTGTGGAGTCAGTCAGCTCTCAGCCAGGGCCTGGCCGCGCTGGCGTGGGCACCCGGGTGGCCCGCACGGCCCAGAGGCAGTGACCAGGGGGGCAGACGTCAGTCAACACGGAATTCGAGCGCCACGGGACAGCAGCGAGCCGGGGCAGGGGCGGCCGCCCCCTGCCGCTCCTCCCTGCTGTGTCAGCGCCGTGGGGACGGAGGTCAGGCCAGGAATTCTGGGTGAGGAAGCTGTGCCAAGGTGAACGCAGCCCTGCTCTCGGGTGCCTGCGCACACGGACACGCCCCAGACGCCACCACCCCGCCGTGATGGCACAACGCCGCTGACGGGGACTCTGGCTCTCCCAGGGAGGCAGGGCCAGTGGGAGAGGCCCCGAGATCCCGGCAGGGCCTGGCTGGAAGTTCAGCTTTACCCCAGCGTTCTGGCTTGCGACCTTGGGCTGTTGGTCCCGTGTCTCGGCGTTTATTTTCCCCTCTGCAAAATGGGTCTAGCAGCATCCTCTCGGTTTCCAGGGTCCAGCAATCAAAGAGAATGCAGAGTGGGGTCTGCGGCTGAGGGAGGCAGGCAGGGGCGTCCCAGCAAATGCGCTCGGTGCCGTCTCTGACTGTGAAAGTGATGCTGGTCCTCACAGAGGTGCTTGTGGAAATAGAGAGAGTGATTCTCACTCAGTAGAATCCGAGCTGAGCACTTGATGAGCCCCCCCCCCCCCCGTCAGCAGATGGACCCACGCTGCAGGGGCTCTGTGGAAGGTGTGTGGAAAATGCAACTCATGGACAAACTATGCGTGGGCTTCCTTGTTTGCATCAAAATAAGGCTGCCTTGCAATTTTGTTTTTCCGTGGACTTGCTGGGCTGCCGTGGTACATTTGTTTAAATCGTGACCGAAGACCCATTTGTAAGCGTGCAGTTCAGAGTAAGAGTGAGTTACGTCATTACCGCTGTGGAGCTCGCCATCCGCGCATGCGCACGCTCTGCCGTGCCCACCCCTGGTTGGTGGGACCGCTGGCCTCTCTCATCCTCATGAGAATCCCTCGGCGGGTAACCTGGTCAGCCCATCTGTGCCTGAGAAATCAAAGCTGTAGAAAGACGGGGTTTCTCTCCGAAGGTGCTCAGCTGCTGGGGCTCGGCAGGGTGGGAGCCCAGAGCCTTGACCTGGCCTGGCCAGGAAGGGGTCCAGGGTCAGCACCCAGAGCTGCACAGGGGCGCAGTTTCCACCTTGATGGTCACATGTATGCATCGGCTGTAAGTAGGGTGACTTCGGCTGGGTGCAGGTGGGGAGCGAGTGTGGCTTCTCACTCCAGGCGCTTCAGCGATGTCGACAGCCTGCTGGTTTGAGAACCAAGTCCAGAGGCAGCTGGAGGCCGATCTGGTGCAGGGCTCTGAGTGTGAACACATCAGCTGATGCAGGGCTCCGAGAGGGTCCACCTGCTGCTGGCAGAGTCCAGGCCAGAGCTTGCCGGACCAAAGCAGCGGCGCGCACCTCGCACGGGCGAGTCCCGCCCCACACCGTCCTGCGGGAGCACCGGCTCCAGTCTCCCAGCCTCAGGCCTCCGGGAGCATCAGGACACCCCCTTCTCTTGGAGTTGTCTAAGTGAGTGCCTCGTTCTAGAAGCATCTGTGCTCCTGTTACGAGGGGCGTGCCTGCAGACAGGGTGCAGCAGTGAGCTCACCCGAGACTGAACACAAGGCAGCCCCTCGGATGCCTCCCTGGGGGAGGTGCTCCCCTGCCCTGGCCACCGGTGTCAGTCTCCCGCGGGCGCCTTCCCTGCGCCCTGTTTGCCACGTCTGACTTGGCTGTCTGCTGTCACTCCGTGTCCTCCTGCTGGCGTTTCCTCCGATGGTAACTCCGGCTCCACCGTGCCGCCCTGGAGAGGGGCGTGCAGCTCAACCTGGGTGGGCATCGCAAGGACGCGGTGCCGCGAGACGCATGTTGGCAGGAGGCAGAGTGCCTGGGTGGCTCTGAAGGCAATTTGGTTGAATTAGTGTTGCTGGCACTGAGCGCACGCACACACACACACACACACATACAGCCACACACATTCCTGCTGCTATTCTCACAGTCGGAGCAAATGCAAAGCAAATGAGAAGATAACCATTTGCATCTCTGTCTGCACAACGACTGTAAGCCCGTGTCTGAGGAGCCAGGGGCTGTGGCTCTCTGATCGCACAGCTGGCAGAGGTGAGGGGCTGGGGGTCAGGAGGGGTGGGTCTTTCAAGTCCTGCTTTTGCTGGCGGCTGCACCAGAGGCAGCCTGTACATTTGTTAAAAGAATTGATCACTAACTGTGCCTGCATAAAAATGGAAAACAACAGGTTCAAAAGCCAGAAAATGATCTAATGAACGGGTGAGCCGCCTGGCACAAGCAACCATTGGCAAACTTTGTTCCTTGCCTCCATCGAGTGGGTTATTCCATAAGCGCCAGGGTTCCGTCCGGGGTTCGACCAGGCTCTGGTGCACACTCTGCCTTTGGTCCTCCCACCTGAGCTGGGGCTGCAGGCGCTGAGGGAAGGTCTTCCAGGCTGGTGAGAGCCGCCTGCCAGGGCCCCGGCTGTGCAGGTGAGGGGCGTGGAGCAGAGGCCTGGGGAGAATCAGACAAGAGACAGTCTTAGCAGTGCCCCACTCCTCCCCGGGCCCTCATACACAGGACCCCAGCTCTGGTCCAAGAGAAGGGATCAGCTGTGCCCCCCACTCCTCCCCGGGCCCTCATACACAGGACCCCAGCTCTGGTCCAAGAGAAGGGATCAGCTGTGCCCCCCACTCCTCCCCAGGCCCTGATACACAGGACCCCAGCTCTGGTCCTGAGCGGATGGACCACAACTTTCTCCCTTGGTGGCCAGGCAGCCCCTGCCTGGACCTCTGGGGAAGTTATACTGATTTTAAAGCACACCCCTTACAGCTTGCTGATTGAAAAAAATGCAGCCTCGTTGTGGAAGCTTAGCCCAGACCCAGCCCTTTCCGTCGCTGGCTGTCTCTGGCCAGCCTCTCGGGGTGGCTTAACAAAGCTTTTTACTTCAGGGAAAACAATGCCCCACGGCGATGCGTGTGCTGCTGCTGGCCTGTGCGACCCCTTCCAGCCGCTCCCCACGGAGATCAGTACTGGACCGGAGGCCGCTGTGAGGCTGCTTCTGATGGTGGGAAGCCGAGGCCACCTGAACGGCCAGTGACGGGAGCGGAGGAAGCGCCTGGTCCACGTGGGCTGGGACACAGCCAGGTGGTCGCCGGGCCCTGGCGAATGCGAGACCGTTAGCAGTGTGATTTCAGGCATCGAAAGCCAGCCTGGGCACCTTCGTGCTGCAGGGAGACGAAGGGTGGGGGCACAGAGCGTCGAGAGAGCCTCTTTTTTAATTTATTTTTTATTTTTTTGTTTTGTGACAGGCAGAATGGATAGTGAGAGAGAGACAGAGAGAAAGGTCTTCCTTTTGCCACTGGTTCACCCTCCAATGGCTGCTGCAGCCGGCGTGCTGCGGCCGGCGCACCACGCTGATCTGAAGGCAGGAGCCAGGTGCTTCTCCTGGTCTCCCATGGGGTGCAGGGCCCAAGCACTTGGGCCATCCTCCACTGCACTCCCTGGCCACAGCAGAGAGCTAGCCTGGAAGGGGGGCAACCGGGACAGAATCCAGCGCCCCGACGGGGACTAGAACCTGGGGTGCCGGTGCCGCAGGTGGAGGATTAGCCTAGTGAGCCGTGGCGCTGGCCATCGAGAGAGCCTCTTAAAGATTATCCGCATTTCCTGTATTTCTCATAGTAAGACACAAGTGCTTCTGTCTTAAAGAGAAATCAAACCGTAGACGAAGCTAAATTCTGCTTCTCTTTCTGTAGCTGTCACTCTCGTTTCTAACGATGCCGTCGTATGGAAGAGAAGGCCAAGGCCAGGCTGGCCACGGGGGTGGCCTGCAAGTTGACCGTGAATCCATGGCGCCCACACGGGCTCCTCCCGGGACACAGCCGCCCCCGGGGTCCCTGCCTGGAAACGCAATCTTGGTGTCCCGTTCTGGACAGAGAGCCCTGGCCAGGGCTGGTGGGATGGATGATGTACACAGCCTGTCCGTCAGCTGGTGTTAGGCCCACCGGCTCGTAACTGTGCCGTCTTCGCCACAGCGCGGCGCCAGGGCTCTGTGGTTTGCAGAGTGCCAGTCTCTGGCTGCCGTGACTAACGTGGTCTCAAGCCCTCTGTCCTCGGGGTGAGCGTTCGGCCTAGCAGCTGACGGTGGCCAGGTAGGACGCCCGAGGCCCGTGTCAGAGTCCCTGACGCCAGCTTCCCGCCAGCGCAGACCTGGACGGCAGCAGCGAGGGCCCAGGGGCTGGTGTTCCTGGCACCTCCTGGGAGCCCTGGACCGAGTGCCTCGCGCCCTGCTGTGGCCTGGTGCGGCTCTGGTCATTTCAGGCGTTAGGGACTGGCCCCGTGGATGGCAGTGTCCTCTCTGTCTCTAAAATAATTACTTTCAAAATAGTTTATCCCTTTCAGTGATGTTATAAAAGGAATTGTCTTCCAATATTCTTTGTTCATCGCACAAACACATCTGATTCTGCAGCGCTGATGGTGCGTCCTGCCACCTTGCTAAGTGTGTTCTGGATTGTGTGTGTGTGTGCTGTGTGGGTGTGTGTGGGGGTGACTGTGGGGGGGGTGTGTCTGGGTGACTGTGTGGGGTGTGGTTTGTATGTGGTGTGTGTGTGTGTATGTGTATGTGTATGTGTGGGTGGGTATGTGTGTAGGTGTGTGTATGGGGGGATGGGTATGTGTGTGCAGATGTGTATGTGTGTGTCAGTGTGTGTATGTGTGTGTTTGGTATGTGTATCTGTGTGTGCCTGTGTGTGTGTATCTGTGTGTCTCTATGAGTGTGTCTGTGTGTGTCTGTGTGTGTCTCTCTGTGTGTGTGTCTATGTGTGTCTCTGTGAGTGTGTGTGTGTCTGTGTGTCTCTGTGAGTGTGTCTGTGTGTGTCTCTATGTGTGTCTCTGTGAGTATGTGTGTCTCTGTGTGTGTCTGTGTGTATATCTCTGTGTGTCTCTGTGTGTATCTCTGTGTGTGTGTCTGTGTGTGTATCTCTCTCTGTGTGTCTCTGTATGTGTCTGTGTGTATCTCTCTCTGTGTGTCTGTGTGTGTATCTCTGTGTGTGTATCTCTGTGTGTCTCTGTGTGTATCTCTGTGTGTGTATCTCTCTCTGTGTCTCTATGTGTATCTCTGTGTGTGTCTGTGTCTCTGTGTGTCTCTCTCTGTGTATCTCTGTGTGTGTATCTCTCTCTATGTGTCTCTGTGTGTGTGTCTGTGTGTGTATCTCTCTCTGTGTGTCTCTCTGTGTGTCTCTGTGTGTGTCTCTGTGTGTGTCTGTGTGTGTATCTCTGTGTGTGTGTGTCTGTGTGTGTATCTCTCTCTGTGTGTCTCTGTGTGTGTCTGTGTGTGTGTAATCTTTAGAATCAGCTCTGCACAGGGTCGGAGGTCGTCTCCCTTCCCTCTCTCTAGTTCAGGTCTTGTACTTCTTTCTCTTGCTGCTCTCCCAGGCCTGTGTTGACCAGAAGTGGTGAGTGCAAGAGGAAAAGTTGCAGTGTTGTGCGAGCTGCGTGTGCACGTGAGGCTTGGATCAGGACACCGGAAGAGACCCCACGCTGGCATCTGGGAGCGTGAGGAGGGGGCTCCACAGACACCGGCCCTGCACCGAGGGCGTCCAAGCAGTGTGGCCGTGCCCCGAGAAGCCACTCTGCTTCTCCACCAGCAAGTGCATGGCCACAGGCAGGCGGTGGTCTGCCTGAGAACGCAGCGCTGGGGGCCTCACCCCACCCTGGAGCCACAAGGCCTGGGCTCAGACAAGACCAGCTCCTGATGGGCACGGCCCTGCCCTCTGTGTCCCGTGGCGTAACCCCTGTGGCGCCCCCTGCAGACCAGCGCAGGCCTCTCCCGAGGACTGACCGCACCAAGAAAGCTGCCCACGGCCCGAGGCAGCCTGCCCTGCAGGAAGCACTTGACCCTTCACTCTGGCTGTCCCAAGTTGAGGCAGGGGATCTGCAGCCCTTCCTCTCTCTCCTCTCCTCCCAGGCGGGGACCGCAGCTCGCCAGTGCTGCCTGGCGTCAGGAGGCAACAGACAGCAATAACCGGCCTCGCCGGGGCCTGGAATGAACCACGCCCCGTGTCTGGGGAACGCCGCACCCCTGCCTTTAGCATGAGGCTTTCAGGTCGCCGGGCAAAGGGACCCCAACCACCCCGGGGGGCCGCTGGGAGAAGTGTGCATTCTTGCTCCCTCGGGACTTCCTGAACTACCCCCCCCCCAAGCTTCCTGGTTTGATAAAGCTCAGAAAACAGGTCCTCTCCGACCTCGGCGCGTGTCCCACGAGCAGTCCTGCAGCCTCCGTGCTGGGCAGAGCAGGGACGGAGGCCGGGCCGCAGGCCGGCAGGGAAGCTTCTGTGGTGGGAAGCGGTGCAGGGAAAGCCCGAGGGAGCAGCCCAGGCACCCGGGAATGGGGCAGTGCTGGGCGAGGGAGGGGAGAGGTTTGCGAGGGCCACACGCGAGACGCTCCCCCGGGTGACGCTGGAGGAGGAGGGAAGGCGTGTGGCAGCCTCGCACCCAGGAAGGAGCGCTGAGAGGCCACCCGGGGGAGAGGGCGAGGCAGCGGCCCCTGTACCCCAGGCTCATGGGAGCGGGGCCCAGGGAGGAGGGGCTGGGGTGAGGAGACGAGGGCCAGCTGCCAGCTGCAGCGAGGGGGACCACGGGGCGCACGCTGGGCAGTCGGGGCCGGAGGCGGCAAGGCGTCCCCTGCAGAACGCGAAGAACCCAGTCTTCCGGGACGTCGTCTCAAAATGAACGTCCAGAGATGCCGAGGGAAGACGGGAACCAGCGGGGGTGGAGAGAGACGAAGAAGGCAGGAAGCAGGAGACCCGGCCCCGGAGAAAGAGCGACTGCTAGAGACAGAGAGCAGCAGGCCCTGAGCTGCCCGAGGCCCTGAGCTGCCCGGCTGGGAAGTCGGGGCGCCCGTCGCCACGGATGTCAGCCACGTTCTGACGTTGGGCAGTCGGGGTGCCAAGAGGGGGGACACGAAACAGCTAGCCCGCCGTCCCGCGTCTCCAGGCGGGAAGACTGAGCAAACACCATGCAAGCACCCGTCTCTTCTACGTTAAGTCAAACTAAGATCCTTGAGAATATCCGTAACTTCCAAAAAAGTAACTGCTTTGGCAAGAAGTCAGGTGCAAGTGGGCTCAGCAAACAGGGAAGGGAGAGAGGGGAGGAAGAGGAAGGAAGAGCAGGCGGGCGAGGATGAGGCCACGCGGACGACAGCCATGGGTGCAGCAGGCGAGAGAGGATGAGGCCACACGCACGGTGGTGTGGGTGCAGCAGGTGGGCGAGGACAAGGCCAAGCGGATGGCGGCCGTGGGTACAGAGGACCCAGTTGTCACGAGGTTCATCCATGCCGGCTCCAACACTGACAGGAGCTAATTTAAGGAAGGAAGGAAGGAAGGAAGGAAGGAAGGAAGGAAGGAAGCCTGCAACCCCTGGCAGAGCTGTGGGCTCCACGGGGCTGGGGTCTCAGCACGGTGGGCAGAAAACACCCGAAGTTGCTCCGTAATTGAACCCAGGAGAATCTGGAACGTTCCACACCGTGCATCCGTGGTGCAGGGCGTGGCCTGGAAGACAATGCCCTGGGGCCGGCGCTGTGGTGCGGCAGGCGAAATACACCTGTGACACCAGCATCGCACACGGGCGCCGGGTTGGGACCTGGCCGCTCCATTTCCAGTCCAGCTCCCTGCTAATGCACCCGGGAAAGCCGTGGAGGACGGCCCCGTGCTTGGGTCCTGGCACCCACGCGGGAGGCCCAGCTGAAGCTCCTGGCCTCGCCTGGCCCAGCCGGGGCCCTTGCGGCCCTCTGGGGGGTGAACCAGCAGATAGGGGATCTCTCCCTGTCTCTTCTCCCTCTCTGGAACTCTGACTGTCAAACAAAGAATAAAAATAAATAAATACATAGTTAAGGAAAGTGTCCTAGAAAAGGCTGTAAAGGGAGGAGAAACTCAGGTGCGGGTGTGGGCCCAGATCCATGCTCGTCTTGGGCTGTGGGGCGCCAGGCTGCGGGGCCCAGAGGTGTGCTGTGACCCCCGCGTGTCAGCCAGGGGACACACAGAACCCACGCCCCAGGCACTAGTGTGGGTAGAGTCACCCAAGCCGCACTCTGTAAGCAGACAAACTTCAAGTCCTCAGAGAGCGAATGGGAGGGAGAGAGGCCGTATCTTGATCCATTCGGTCGCTGTAACAGAATAGCACAGGCTGAGGATGGTATAGGAGTAGACATTTAGAAGGAATTTATTTCTCACAGTTCTGTCTGGAGGATGAAAGTCCAACGTCAAGGCGCCCGCAGACCTGAAGTCCCTGTGGGGAGGTGGGGAGGCAGGGCTCTGTGGGCCTTCCCAGAGGCAGGTGCAGAGGCTCTGTTGGGCCCTCCCAGAGGCAGGTGGGCCTGGGCTCTGGGGGCCCTCCCAGGGGGAGGTAACTGGGCTCTGTGGGCCCTCCCAGGGGCAGGTGGGCCTGGGATCTGGGGGCCCTCCCAGGGAGAGGTAACTGGGCTCTGTGGGCCCTCCCAGGGGCAGGTGGGCCTGGGCTCTGGGGGCCCTCCCAGGGAGAGGTAACTGGGCTCTGTGGGCCCTCCCAGGGAGAGGTAATTGGGCTCTGTGGGTCCTCCCAAGGGGAGGTGCAGGGGCTCTGTGGGCCCTCCCAGGGGGAGGTGCCTGGGCTCTGGGGGCCCTCCCAGGAGGCTGTTCTCAGAGGCCTCTATTATGAGGGCGCTCATCTGGTCATGGGGAAGGGGAAGCCCTCAGGCTGCCTCCCCCAGGGCCCTGCCCCTCGCATGGTCACCTTGATGGCAGAGTTCCAGCGCAGGGAGTTGGGAGGGGACGGACATTCAGCCCTCAGCACCCTGCAAACAAGAACAGGCAGTTACGAAGCAAGAACAAGCAAATCTGGGCTCCCTGGCTTGTTACTTTTTGTCTGATTTCCTGTGGTAGACCTGATGCACGAGGGAAAGAAGTGGTCCTTTGGGAAAAGTCTGAGTGCCCATGAGCAGGCGGCGCAGAGACGAAGGTGGAAATGGAAGTGAGAGCTTCAGAGACATTAAGAATCAAACAGGAACGTTGAATATGCACAAATATTTAGAAATAAAAATACGGATGTCAGACATGCGTCGGATAGAGATTCCAGAGAGAAGAACGAAACCCGAGAACAGGCAATATTTTCGGTGCTAACGCTGGCATTTTCCCAGAATCGGAGCGGGACTTGAGTGCTGTGACTTAAAATGCGCCAAGTCCCAGGCAGGAGGAATCGAAGCAAAGTCACGCGAGGACATGGAAGCTGCGAAGTGCGAAGGAGAAGGAGGACATCTTAACCCTCCACCAAGGACTGAAGAACCAGCCCAGGTTAGCGACGGGGGCTGCGGGCGCTGCGGTGTCAGGGACAGCGAGGAGACCCCGGCGGAGTGGCGTCCTGCAGGCCCAGGGCAGGCACAGCCGGAGACGGAAGCCAGGAAGCGGAGGTGAGAAGCGGTGCCACTGCCCGCGGGCTCGAGGAGTTGCGGTGAGGAGCCGCAGTGGAGAGCGCAGTGCGTGTCCCAAGGTGCTCGGCGTCGCGGACGCCCAGGGAGCCGATTCCTGAGCGTGGCCCAGGGCCGGGGCCAGGTGGGGAGCCGCTGGCTGCCCCTGGTCGTGGCAGGGCTGGGGCGGGGTGGCCGGCTGCTGTGTGTGCCAGGCACACCTGCAGGGGCAGTGGCTGGCTGCACTGCCCTTGTCGTCCGAGTCTCCCACTGCCCTGGGACCGCTTTAGAAACACCACCGAGCCGCGGAGGCTGGAACGCTGCCAGGAAGGGAGCCTCTCGCCCGGGGGCCCTGTGGTCTCACGCTGGGCAGGGCCGGGGCCGCTGTGACTTCCAGGACAGCCCTGGCCCTGGGACCGGCCGCCTGTGAGAAGTTTCCAGAAGAGCGCCAGCGCCCCTTCCCGCTGTGTCCTTGAGCAGATCCGCCTGCCTCCGTCTCCCCTTCCATGGGGACCTGGTCTCGGCCCAGGGAACCGTGGGCCGGCGCTGAGCCTGCCAAGAGGGGGCTGAACTGCACAAAGTAAATATTTCTCCACCACCGGGAAAATGGAGGGGGCCCCCGGGGGCTTCCCTGACAGCCAGAGCGGAGCAGCGCCCGCGGCTGCAGCCAGGCCCCCTCAGCCTCCTGGGCCAGCGCCCACCGGGCACTTAGACCTCCGCATTTATTTATGGAGCTAATTGTGTGTGTGCTGCTCCCATTTCCGGGAGATAAAAAGCCGAGATAATCAGCTCGGCCCTGGACGCAGCGGGGACCGTGGAAAGCGGGCGGGGTCCGCAGAGGCTGCTGGGAACTGGGGCCGAGGACCCCACCCCAAGCACTTGAGCCATCACCGCTGCCTCCCAGGGTGTGCGAGAGCAGGTGTCAGGAGCGGCGCTGGAGCGCAGGCGCTGCACACGGGGCGCGGCCCCCCCACGGCGCCTTGGGCGCTGCACACGGGGCGCGGCCCCCCCACGGCGCCTTGGGCGCTCCACACGGGCGCGGCCCCCCCACGGCGCCTTGGGCGCTGCACACGGGCGCGGCCCCCCCACGGCGCCTTGGGCGCTCCGGGAAATGTGCAGCCCGGGGGAAGGTTCTGCTGCTCCTGCTTAACAAGAACAGCGCGCGTCCTGAAAGCCGTGCGGCGACAGCTGTCAGACGACCGAGTTCTGAGCTCGTCACCAAGCCCACGGCCCGGTGTCCTTGGCAGAGATCCCCGCCGCTCTTCCAGCCGAGACAGACAGATGACCTGGTGTCTGGGGATTCGCGGCTCCCTCTGCTCCCCGGAGAATTTTGAAGTGCATCTTCCCTGCTCCCGGCAATGGCGTCTCCGCCCCCCCCACCCCCGGCTTTGGGGGCCCCCTCACCCCAACCGCGTCGCCGGTTCCAATCACGGAATGTTTAGAGGAATCTGGGAGGCTGAGTTCACGCAGCGACGCCCAGGTCGGGGCTGGGTGAGATCCCAACGCTGCGGACGGAGCGCTCCCTCCCGCGCCTCCGTCAGGGCCCGGGGTCAGATCCGGGATCTTGAGAAAACAAACATGGCGTTTCTGTCCAAACCCTAACAGCTGGTCCGTGCTGGCTTTGTCTCATTCTAACAGATCAGATAAAAGGGCTTCCTTAGTCATCACGGAAATAGGGCAGAGATGGCCGACGCGTAATACGTCATTTCGGTTTCCAGAGGCCGGGACAGTCCAGAGGGTGCCTGGCCCCGTCGGGCGCTGGTCCACTCCCAGCTCAAGTGCACTGTGAGTGCAGGCGGACTCGGCCTCTCCCGCCCAGCGGCCTTCCAGGACGCAGGCGGGCGTGTGGCTTGGTCTCCGCCTGAACCTGTGCCCGACAGCTGCCCCGAGCGGAGGGAGCTGGAAGCAGCAGCCACTAGGGAAGTCCCCCTGAAGGGACCATGGGGTCCCCATTGAAAACCAGGGCCCTCGGGTGCCTCCTTCCTCCTTGGGGAGGGGTCCTCCGAGGAGCACCTGCTGCCTGTCATGGCTGAGCCCCGCCCCCCGGGTGGAGATTCCACTGCCCTGCAGAGCTCGGCCTTGGTGCTTTGAACTCACCTTCAAAAGGTGCTCGGAGTGCACTGGCAGGGTCAGGCAGGCTGCTGGGGGCTGGGGGACAAGGTCTGTGGGCATGGGCAGGAGCCAGCCTGCACTGCCCAGGGCTGCGGCCACTGTGCACCCAGGGTCAGGGAGTGGCCACCCAGGACAGGAGGGCCACGTGGAAGATGCCTGCTCCGGAGTTGCTGTGGTGGTGGTGGACCAATCGACACCTCTAGCCCACGCCCACGCCCATGCCCACGCCCCGTTACCTTTCCAAACGTCCCTCTCAGTCCACAGCACTGAGACGGCCGATGGAGGAGCAAACGTCCAGTGTGCAAACAAGGGCTGACCCCAGAGCGAGGTGAGGCCGCCGCAAAACTTCCCGGCCAAGGTGCAAAGGCTGCCTGGTGCTTGCATGGGACACGGTGTACAGAGGACGTTGTGCCCGGCTCACACCCTGCGCACAGGACAACGTTCCGCGTTGAAGGTGCAGCCCCGGCGGAGCAATGAGGTCCCCAGCAAGTAGAAACCCTGCCTGACTTTATATTGACAGATGTTTCTTTGTTGTTCTTTTACCAGATTTGTTTATTTATTTGAAAATCAGACTTACAGGGGGAGAGAGAGGGAGAGAGAGATCTCCCATCTGCTGGTTCACTCCCCAGATGGCTACAACAGCCGGGGCTAGGCCAGGCTGAAGCCAGGAGCTTTATCTGGGTCTCCCACATGGGGTGGGGGCCCAAGCACTTGGGCCATCTCCTGATGCTTTTCCCAGGCGATTAACAGAGAACTGGGTGGAAAGTGAAGCAGCCAGGACTCGAACCAGCATCCATATAGGATGCTGGTGTCACAGGTGGCAGCTTTGCCGGCTACGCCACAGCACCGGCCCCTCGGGTTTGAAACTGTTCGGTGAGGTGCAGAGGAGCATGCGTCTCGGTGCACACAAACTCACACACCCCGGAAAGCAGCTCCCAGGATTCGTAGCACCCCAGAAATTCCCCACAGGGTCCCTCGTGTCCTTAGCCTCTCGCCTCGAGTCACCGTTCTGTTCAGGACGTGGGCAGTGCCATGCGTGGGCCTGGTGCTCTGTAGGAGGTGGACCGTGGCCCTCATGCTGTGTGTCTGCTTCCCCTGCCTCTCCCTAGAACCTTTCCCGTGGCCGCGTGGTGGTCTCCCCTGTGCGTGAATGTGGTGATGGACACTGGAGTTGCCGTCTGTGGTTTTGCAAATTCCAGTTTCCCATGCACAGCTGGTGAATGTGCGGCTCCCGTGGCGCCGACGCTGCTGACAGCGCTGTCTCCCTGCCACACGGGGATGACCTCCACTCGGTACAGCCACCCTTCGGCCCGGGCCCCCCATCTTAAACACGCTGGAAGTGCCACGTGGGCACCACGTGGTCTCTGTGGCTCTCACTTACATGGGTCAGCCCCCAGCCCAGGGTGCGTGCCCACCTGGAGTCTGAAACCCTCTCTAGGCTCCGTCAAGCTCTGGCAGAACTCCAGGACTGAGGCCTCCCCCTGGGGTGGAACAGGAGAGGCATCTGACCTCTGACCTCTGACCCCTGACTCCCGGGCCACCTCCACAAGCTCACGGGAGCAGCTCAGGCACCCCCAGGGTTGTCTCTGAGGACCAAGCAGTAAGGACAACTGCAGGGCAGCACTCGCGGGTGCCACGCGCGGTCCCCCTGCCGCGTCCTCCCCCACGGGGTCCCAGGGCCGCCTTGCTTGGTGACGGGGTCTCCCCACCGCTCCTCCTGGAGCGCCAGTCTCCGTTCCTTCCTGACCTCTCCCCGTGCATGCCAGCACACCGCCACTGCCCTGCCCCAGGGACCCCTGTGCCAGGTGTGAATTCTCGTCGCTTCTCCCCTGCAGGCCTGGGAATGCTGTGCCGCCTCCCGCCACGCGCTTGCTGTCACTCAGCTGGCTCCATGGTCCTCGCTTCAAGGACTTTGGCTCCTTTTTCCTGGGGTTCGGTTCTGATGGGTTTGGGTTCTTTGAGTTCATGCTGTTTGGGGTTCACCCAGCTTCTCAAATCCACAGCTTCGTATCATTTGCCAGATTTTAGAAACGCTGAGTCATCATTCATAAGTGCCTTTCAGGCTCTCCCGCTCTTCCTTGCGATGCCCTGGTGACATGAAAATCCTAGCTTTTCTATAGGGACGCCCCGACTCATGACGGGGCTGTGTCCTAACCAACCACGCAAATCAAGACTGAAGGGGCACCGGTGGCTCCCCGGGGATGCTGCCCGGCGCTGAGAGCGTGCTGTGCCCCCACCTGGAACCTGGCAGACTGCCAGAGGTCCACACTGGGAGCCTGCGCCGTTCCGCACCACGGGCGCCCAGCCGAGCCCCGGTCGGTCCCTGTCCCCTGGGCACGCGCTCTGATCCTGCAGGCTGTGGACGGATGAGCCTGCTCCAGGGGTCAGAGGGGACTCCTGGGTCTCACAGGGAAAAGCTGCGATGGATGGGTGGATCGGGATGAGGGGCTCAGCCTTGGCATCGCACCCTCAAGTTTGGGGAGTAAGAGGGGGACTGGCCTTGAGCTGCGTGTGTCTGAAGGTTCCGCAGGTCGTTTGTGTCTGGGAACAATGCTGAAGGTCCCCCGACTTCTGGGACCCGGGACCTGGTAGTCCGTGGCCTCTCCCTGGTGTCTGCTCCGTCCTCCCGTGCCCGTGAGCAGGACGGGCGGTGGCAACGGTCCTCCCAGCGTCTGCTGTTGGCAGGGCGCCCTCTCCCGCAGGGGCTGACATGACTTTCTGTCACCTGCGCTGTCCTTCCAGCGGCAGGAACGAAGCAACAAAGACGTGGTGGCTGGCAACGGATTGCTTCTTGCAGAGTCCTGGAGGCCAGAGTCCGGGCCCCTGGTGGGTGGCGGGGCCACACTTTCTCCCCAGGCTCTGGGGTCCTCCCCCGCCTCTTCCAGCTTCTGGTGGCTCCAGAGCTGACCCAGCCTGCAGGAGGACGGCTGCCCCCATACGGCTCCTCCTCTTTTATCTCTGGATTTAGGGCCGCCCAGACAGGCCGGGACGGCGTCGTCACATCCACAAAGACCCTTTCTCCAGATGAGGGCACAATCCAGGGGTGGGCGTTCAGAGGTGGGCCCAGCTTTTTGGGGTGCAGGGCCCACGGGCGGCGCCACTGGAACCCGGCCGTTGCTTCTGAGTCAGCGCCACCAGGGCCGCCCTCCACTCTGGGGTTTCTCGTTCGTGGTTCCCTTGGTGCTACCCCGGCGGAGGCCACGCTGAGCACCGCAGGCAGGAACCACGGCCCCCTGCACCCTGACGGCCACGTGGCAGGAAGCTGTGAGCGCGCCAGGACCGCCAGGACGTGCTCCAGTGATGAGCATGTTGTTCTCTCGCGGGTCCTCCGGCGGGCGGGCCACGAACGCTCTCCCGGGGCTGTGCGGCCTGTGGGTGGGGGTGAGCGGCTCCTGCCGCGGCCCTCGCTCTGCGTCTCCGCCCAGCCAGGGCCGCGAGGCGCTGAAGCGGCTGTCACACCGGCCCTGCGCGTCTCCCAGGGCCCACTCCTTCCTTGGGAGCGGAGTGACAGTTTGCACACTGGAAGGATTCACGAATTCCTGTCTGCAAATCCACTTCAGATCTGCGGGTCTGCGGCCCAAGACGCAGTTATTCTGCTGCTAATTAAAACCATCCCGCCATGTTGCCCTCCCCTCATTTGAATAACAAAGAGAGGCAGAGATAAAACGACATCTGTGGAGCCTCCCAAATACTTCTGACCGCGGGCGGGGGAACACATGAGACAGGGCGGGCGTGACGCACGGACGCCGAGCCGCCCGGAGGTGCTGACGGCGAGGGCAGAGCCGACCGGGCAGCTGTGTCTCTCCTTCGGCTCCCAGTGAAGCGCCAGCTCCAGCCCCAGCCGAGGCGGTCCCACTGCTGGCTTCTCCAGAGGTGGGCCGGTGTCATCCCATTTCCACTTGGAAATGCTGGCATCGTGGGGCGCCCGAGGGGGCGGGGAGGAAGGAGACAGGGTCCCGCAGGCGGCACGAGGCCAACAGGAGGGCAACACCGAACACGCAGGTGGCCTCGGCAATGCACTTGGTAAAGGGAGTCAGTTTCGGCAGTGTGCTTTCCGGCTCCGGAGCTGTCAGGGCCGCTCCGTGTTCGTAGGCTCCTCCTCTCTCTCTGGGTCTCCCTCTTCCTGTCTCTCCCGAGGACCTCGCCATTGGACCTAGGGCCACCCAAGCAGTCAGGATGCCGTCATCTTGAGACCCTGCAGCCACTGGGCAGCCCGCCCCTGCCGCCCTTTCACCCCGGGGCTGTCTGCATGAAGACAGGAAGCTCCTGGGGGGGACCTTGCTGGGCTCTGATGGCACACCTCCAGTGTGTGCACACCAGGAATCCCCGGCAGGCACCCTGGGCGAGCCGACCGGGCAGCCGGCTCTGGCTCAGGAGCCGTGACTCGGGAGCAGGCGCACTGGGGGTGGGATGTGGCAGAGGCAGAGGCGGGTGGGGGCTTTGGGAGAGTGGGGGTACCTGCCGCCCCGCCCCTGGCAGCAGGAAGTCCCGCCTCCCGGTTGTCAGTCCTGAGATGTGCTGTATGTTGGGGCTGACCTCTCCTGGGCCTGTCTGTGGCTCCCTCGGTTCCGGTGACCGTGGCTTCTACCCCTGGCCGGTGTTGGCTTCTTCCTCTTCCAACCACACAGCCCGTGGGTCCTCTCTGAGCCAGTTGCCTGCTGGCCACTGTGACAGTCCCACTATCGTCCGGGATCGCCGCCTGCACCCACGCCCCCTCAGGAAGCCTGCGCGGCAGGGTCCGTGTTACTGCATCGCATGCTGAGGGGGACACCTGGGACTCTCCGCAGCTTGGGCGTCGCCGTCGGAACCGGGTCGGGGAGCAGCGATCACCCTGGGCCTCCTGCCTCTTCCCTCTTCCGCTAGCCCCTGCCTCTCTCCCCGCCCCGGCCTCCAGCCCGGACCCCTGCAGGCTGTTGGAGCCTCTGCTCCGGCGTCGCCCCGCCCCGTCCTCTGCCAGCCCCCGTCCTCTGCCGGCCCCCGTCCTCTGCCGGCCCCCGTCCTCTGCCAGCCCCCGTCCTCTGCCAGCCCCCGTCCTCTGCCGGCCCCCGTCCTCTGCCAGCCCCCATCCTCTGCCGGCCACCATCCAAAGCCCATCGTCCAGGGCCTTTGAGCTTCAAGCTCAGAGCCGTGGCGCAGCCCCCGCATGAATGGAGGGGCCCCTTCCCGCGTCCTGGCCACCTCCTGCAGGGGCCAGCACCGACCTGCTTCTTGGGGACAACAGTCCCCTCGTGGCCTTGTCCCCCCGCCATCGCCGCTGCCCCTTCCCGGGGGAACCTGCAGTCTGCCACGCTCCTGGGGCCTCCTCAAGTGCCCTCGGCCGGCTCACGCCCCGTCCACCCCGGCAGTCAGGCCCGCCCGCCACCCGCAGGATGCTTCCCAAGCAGCCAGGGACACACCAGCCACATGGCTCTGGGACACGAGAGGCAGCGTGGCCTCCGTCCCTCCCTGGGCCGAGCAGTGGGTCAGGCCCACCACGGCTGCCCCGTCTCTGCCTCCACAGCAATTTCCCGGGCCCGCTCTGACCAGTGAAATCCTCCAGCTGCCACCACGGGGCCTTGCGTGGCTCAGTCCAGGTTCTAGGACACCAGCTCTTTTTAACTATGCCAGGAGTTCCAGAATGTGTTCCAGAACATTCTGTGGACTCTGGAGGCTGCAGGAGCAGGAGGGAGGGGTCTAGGCTGGTGGGCTGCAAACCTGCACCCTCACACCCTGCGTTCCCGGAGCAGGGAGCGCTGACACAGCACAGAGCAAGCGGCTGCGGATGGCTGAGTCCACCCACGTACCCTCCCCTCCATGTGGTCCATGGGACTCTGGTGGCCACAGGTGCCTCCTGTCCCTCCTCTGGGGACGGCACCTCAGGGGCCACGAGGGACACAGCAGCAGGGCACAGGGAGCTGCAGCTGGACAGGGGATGAGCCAGCGGGGGCGGCCTTGGCGTCCCCCCGCCCCGATACCCGTGGACTTCGGTTTCTCAGAGGTTACAGCACATCCTGGGCAGGAGCTCTGACCTGCAGGCCAGGTCAGCACTGATGTGTGTCCCCTGCCCCAGAGCAAAATGGTCAGCTTCCCGCGGGAGCAAGCACTCAGGGAGCCCTGGGAGGGAGCGGGAGAGAGTACTGAGCACTGACTCTATGTACTGTGTAATATGACTGAGTACTGAGCACTCCCTCTGTGTCTGTGTCTGTGCAGGGTGAGTACTGAGTGCCCACTCTGTGTCTGTGTGTGTGCAGGGTGAGTACTGAGCGCTCACTCTGTGTCTGTGTGTGTGCAGGGTGAGTACTGAGTGCTCACTCTGTGTCTGTGTGTGCCAGGTGAGTACTGAGCACTCACTCTGTGTCTGTGTGTGCAGGGTGAGTACTGAGTGCCCACTCTGTGTCTGTGTGTGTGCAGGGTGAGTACTGAGCGCTCACTCTGTGTCTGTCTGTGCAGGGTGAGTACTGAGCGCTCACTCTGTGTCTGTGTGTGCAGGGTGAGTACTGAGTGCTCACTCTGTGTCTGTGTGTGTGCAGGGTGAGTACTGAGCACTCACTGTGTGTCTGTGTGTGTGCAGGGTGAGTACTGAGTGCTCACTCTGTGTCTGTGTGTGCAGGGTGAGTACTGAGCACTCACTCATGTCTGTGTGTGTGCAGGGTGAGTACTGAGTGCTCACTCTGTGTGTGTGTGTCTGTGCAGGGTGAGTACTGAGCACTCACTCTGTGTCTGTGTGTGTGTGTGTGTGTGCAGGGTGAGTACTGAGCACTCACTCTGTGTCTGTGTGTGTGCAGGGTGAGTACTGAGCACTCACTGTGTGTCTGTGTGTGTGTGTGTGTGCAGGGTGAGTACTGAGCACTCACTCTGTGTCTGTGCAGGGTGAATACTGAGCGCTCACTCTGTGTCTGTGTGTGTGCAGGGTGAGTACTGAGCGCTCACTCTGTGTCTGTGTGTGTGCAGGGTGAGTACTGAGCACTCACTCTGTGTCTGTGTGCAGGGTGAGTACTGAGCACTCACTCTGTGTCTGTGTATGTGCAGGGTGAGTACTGAGTGCTCACTCTGTGTCTGTCTGTGCAGGGTGAGTACTGAGCGCTCACTCTGTGTCTGTCTGTGCAGGGTGAATACTGAGCGCTCACTCTGTGTCTGTGTGTGTGCAGGGTGAGTACTGAGTGCTCACTCTGTGTCAATCTGTGCAGGGTGAGTACTGAGCACTCACTCTGTGTCTGTGTGTGTGCAGGGTGAGTACTGAGCACTCACTCTGTGTCTGTGTGTGTGCAGGGTGAGTACTGAGCGCTCACTCTGTGTCTGTGTGTGTGCAGGGTGAGTACTGAGTACTCATTCTGTGTCTGTGTCTGTGCAGGGTGAGTACTGAGCACTCACTCTGTGTCTGTGTCTGTGCAGGGGTGAGTACTGAGCGCTCACTCTGTGTGTGTGTCTGTGCAGGGTGAGTACTGAGTGCTCACTCTGTGTCTGTGTCTGTGCAGGGTGAGTACTGAGTGCTCACTCTGTGTGTGTGTGTGTGCAGGGTGAGTAATGAGTACTCACTCTGTGTGTGTGTGTGTGCAGGGTGAGTACTGAGCGCTCACTCTGTGTCTGTGTCTGTGCAGGAAGAGTACTGAGCACTCACTCTGTGTCTGTGTGTGTGCAGGGTGAGTACTGAGCGCTCACTCTGTCTGTGTCTGTGTAGGGTGAGTACTGAGCACTCACTCTGTGTCTGTGTGTGTGCAGGGTGAGTACTGAGTGCTCACTCTGTGTGTGTGTGTCTGTGTGTGTGCAGGGTGAGTACTGAGCACTCACTCTGTGTGTGTGTGCAGGGTGAGTACTGAGCGCTCACTCTGTGTCTTTTTGTGTGTGTGCAGGGTGAGTACTGAGCGCTCACTCTGTGTCTGTGTCTGTGCAGGGTGAGTACTGAGTACTCACTCTGTGTCTGTGTGTGTGCAGGGTGAGTACTGAGCACTCACTCTGTGTCTGTGTGTGTGCAGGGTGAGTACTGAGTGCTCACTCTGTGTGTGTGTGTCTGTGTGTGTGCAGGGTGAGTACTGAGCACTCACTCTGTGTGTGTGTGCAGGGTGAGTACTGAGCGCTCACTCTGTGTCTGTGTCTGTGCAGGGTGAGTACTGAGTACTCACTCTGTGTCTGTGTGTGTGCAGGGTGAGTACTGAGTACTCTGTGTCTGTGCAGGGTGACTGAGTACTAAGTCCTCTGTGTCTGTCCATGCAGGGGGAGTACCTAACCCTCACCCTGTCTGTCCCCTTGACCCCGGCTGGCAGCCCCCGCTCGGTGAACACTAAGGGTCGTTGGCCCAGAGCTGGAGTCCGTGGGTCTTCTCTGCCCATCTCAGCTCCTCCTCACATCTCCGCACGTCCATCTCGATGTCCATTTGCCGGCCCAGAGGGCGAGCCCGGCCACTGTGTGCTCTGGGGGCTGGCTGTGAACATGGCCACTGAGCTGGGTACATGTAAGTGCTGTGGTCTGGAGTGAACCCCTTTCTGCCGACAGAAGAGACATTGTTCCGACTGTAGGTGGAACCCCGGGAGCCTGGCGCGCTCGGTGAAGGAGGGTTTGGTGGCGTTTGGATTTTGCTGACAAGTGGCGGTGCTGGCACGGGTACCTGCCAGCGGCGTGCACAGTGACTCAGGCCGGTGTCCCTGGGGCAGGTGCTTCATCCAGGATGCGCGGGGCAAACCCCATCGGTTGTGTTTCTGCATTTTCGCTGACTTCCCTGGTTTTTATTTTCCAAATATCCCGGTGAGAATTTTTCTTTCGGCAATAATGCAATTCTTTTTCAGTTTTCCATCCTCTGTCCCTCTCATGTTCTCGCTCAGAAGACGCGAACCACTGGTCAGACATTAAGTGCACGTCTTCTCGTGTGCACAGGAAGTCATACCCAAGTCGGATTTTAAACCCGCTCTCCTCCACCCCTGCCTTGCCCTTCCAGATAAAAACCTCGCATTTAAGATCCACGTCTTGGCTGGTCTTGCAGCCTTCATGTAACCGTTCCTCGTATAAAGATCACTGGGCAGGAGCAGAGCTACTCAGCTTCTTCCTAGGCTTTGTGTAGCTGACCTAGGTTCAGTGGCCGGTGAGCTGGGCTGCAGGGGCTGGCGTTCACGTGGCGGATTCAAGGGCCAGAGGTTCAGTGCCGCCTGGGGTGCGGCGTCACACTCCCGTCTCAGACCGGCTGCTCTGCTGCGGACACAGCTCTCTGCCAGTGCTGCTGGGAGGAAGATGGCCCGAGTACTTGGGTCCCTGCCTCCTACGTGGGAGACGAGGATGGAGCTCCTGGCTTCTGGCTTCAGCCTGGCCCTGACCCGGCTGTGGCGGGCATTTGGGGAGTGAACTAGCAGATGAAGACCTCTCTCTGCCTCTGCCTCTCTCTCTCCTACCATTCTCCCCATGACTCTGCCTTTCAAATAAATAATAATGATTTTAAGAGCTATAATGTCTGTTTCATTATACGGAACACAATTCTTGTTGTGACATGACCTTGTCTGTTTAAATTAGAGTTTTGTGGGGCAGGCGCTGTGGAGTAGCAGGTAAAGCCGCAGCCTGCAGCTGGCATCCCATATGGGTGCTGGTTCGGTTCCCAGCTGCTCCACTTCCCATCCAGCTCTCTGCTGTGGCCTGGGAAAGCAGTAGAAGATGCCCAAGTCCTTGGGCCCCTGCACCCATGTGGGAGTCCTGGAAGACGCTCCTGGCTCCTGGCTTCGGATCAGCACAGCTCCAGCCATTGCGGCCAATTGTGGAGTGAACCACTGGATGTAAGACCTCTCTCTTTGCTTCTCCTTCTCTCTCTGTGTAACTGTGCCTTGCAAAGAAATAACTCTTTAAAATAAACAAATAACAGAGTTTTGTTCAACAGCTGCCACCAAGACGTCCCCATGTGCCCACGGCCCTTCTTCCACCGTGAGCCCTCTCGTTCTCCCAGGTCGGACCCGTGGCGCCTCCCGCAGGGCCCAGGGTGTGCTGCGGGACACAGGGTGCCCCATTCTTACGCTGCAGGCCGTCTACACAGGCGAAGCATGACTCAGTGTGACGTGCCCTCCAAGGAGACATGGCCCAGAGAGGGGCTCCGCGGCAGGAACAGTGCTGGGGGCACAAGGCTGGTGGGACAGCAGCCCCAGAAGTCAGATGCTGTCTTGCAGAGAAGAGAGACTCAGCGTGGCCCAGTCCAGATGCATTTTTTTGTCACTCAAAACCGGAGAAGGAGCCTGGGAGTCGGGAACCCTGGGCTCAGCCTGACGCAGCTCTCAGGGGCTGTGTGAGTGCTCGGCAAAGGCTCTGGCCAGGCCACGCCGATCCCTGCCACAGCGCTGGGCGGTGGCCTCGTGGAGCGTCCCACCCCTCGGCCCCAGGCCTCCAGGCCTCCTGCAAGCCAAGGCTCCAGGTGGGACCCAAGACGTCCCTAACAGAATTTCTGTCATGGAGGGCGTTTGGCAGCTAAGATGCCGTGGGGATACCCACATCCACGCTGTGCCCACATCCACGCTGTGCCCACATCCACACTGTGACCCCACATCCACACTGTGACTCCACATCCACG